TTCGCAAGTTTTGTTATCGCGGGATAACAGAGCAAATTTCCATGAGTTAACTTACGCTTGACAGTAAGGACCCCGTGTTGAATCGTTTAAAATAAAGTTCGTTCCTAAACGAACGAACTACACGCTTTTTTCTTTTATTTTTTTATTTATTTTTTTTTTTTTTTTTTTTTTTTTTTGTTAAAACCGGCGAACCACTCGTGCCACTTGCGACAACGTGCTAACTAGACGTGAATTTCGAGCTGACGACTGAGCGTGGACGGATTGTTGCGAACCACGCTTGCCACCAACTTGGCTCCCTTTTTTCCCGGCGAATAATAAATATGTAAAATGCGTCCGTTCTTCTCTTTATGTAGTCATACGGGCACTCCTTGAAACTTGCCTCTTCCAAAAACTTTGCAGTCCTCTCTTACGATTCTTTATCTTTTGTTCACTCTGCCCTCGTCCCCTCCTTGTGTCCACACCGTTCTCACACCGTCTTTTCGTTAAACCTCGACTCGGCTCAATTTACTTTCTACGTAACTCTTTTCTGCTTAATAATTTTCTTCTTAATACTTTTTTTTTTTTAAGTATCTCACTTCGTAGGATTTCCACGTGTTAGAATTATTTCATTAATTTCACGTATGGAATTTTACGTATGGCGGCCTTAAAACCGTCAGTTGATGATGCTAAAGCTGGAGAATTCGGTAACAGGATGGTACCGATCCAAGAATGTAATTATCGCCTTCGTTGACTTACGATCATCAACAACTATTGTTACTATCATACGCGCCTCGTTTCGCAACTTGTGAATAATGTAACACGGGAAATGTCGCGTAAGCGGTCAAAGTATTGTTCGCAAAGTAAACCTTCACACGGTTGTACACAAATGTTTAAACGGTGTGTCACTGCCCGGGCCACGTGGTTTAGTTTAACAATACCAAGTTTACTGAGAGAGATATCGCAAGGAGGTACACGTTCCCATGCGTCACACGTTCGCGTGTAAATTTACAGAAGAACGAGAAA